ATGAATAGAATAGAAAATCCCTTTATTGTTCCTCAGTAGGGAAAGCTAGACGTCACAACAGCGATGACGCATATTACAGGAGAAAAAAGGAGAATTAAAAAATAAGAAAAATGAATAAACAAGAAAACATAAATCCTGAATAGATTTCAAAAATGCTGAATATACCACAAGTAATGAATACCACTGATGCCTTTTATTTAAAACTGACTTGCTCGTGTGTCATTTGGTTATTCCACATTCAGTGTTAATGCAGAAATATGTTTGTTTCCAAATTTAAAGGTTCAAAATTGCATAAATGTTGATAAAGAAAACGTGCAAATTTGCCGTCACTTTTTCAAAAAATATTAAGTTTGGCCCTCGACTCCGTCCCAGAGTTTCATTTTGGCCCCTTGTGAGTTTGAGTTTGACACCCCTGGTCTAAGGGCACACATTGTTTCTCAGCCGAGTCTTGCTATTTGCTAGTCTGTTTCTGTCTGCATGACAGACACACCGATGCTCAATCAAGTAACTTCTGGGTAAATGTTCTGCTCTAACCCTTGCATTTGGCTTTGTGGCTTTTGTTATTTGGGAAAGTTTGTGCGTGTTTTAGCGTGCCTTTTCACCGTGGCTGCGGACCAGAGCTTTGTTTATGCCAAACCCCTCCCCCGTGTGGTCAGTAAACAACTACGAAGAGTAGTGAGGTCCAAATAGAGAGTGTCAAAAGAAGTATAATCCTGACTGGTGGATGCATCATGAACTTAGCTTAACATGATATTTTTTTTTTTCTCTGGACAAGAAATAATTACTAGTTAAATTGTAGATGATAGGATATGAGCCACCTCTAGAAATAATTAAAATCATTTTACATTAACAATAAATGTATCTCTAGCGCTCTAGACAGACAGACAGACAAACAGACCGACAGATTCTGAGATGTTTTATCCTATTTTATGTCCCAAATTTTTATATGTCTGAAATAAAAAGTCTGTCAATTATTGCAAAAACCTTTTAAAGCAACAAAAAGGTGGAGTAACTGAATCCTTCCTGACCATGTTTTACAGACACATAAACAGCTGCTTCACTGAATGACTGACTAGATGGATGGACTGTGGAAATCAAGGTAAGAAATATGGAAACGGTGATATCTATACATGTGGTCTCACACACTCAAATACACACACACAGGGACACACACCTGTATCTATCTTTATCTTCTGCCTGCTGCCTAAATTGTTCTGTCGCTAACTGATTTAGCTAAGTTCAGCTTATGATTGTAAAATTGGGTTCACTGAGATGGATTGTTGCCTCTGTGGTAAAAAAAAAAATACCCGTGATGTATAGTGAGCAATAAAAACCCTTTCACTATATAAAATGAGCTGGTGTTTCACAGATTGACTGATGAGTTCATGGAAGATTGTGAGTGAGCTTGCACTCTTTCAGATTTCATTTGTACAAAACCAACTCGGGTAATATTTTCACTAATGGGGGTTGGCTTAAGATTCAAAACTTCAAAAACAAGCAGCAAATCCAATATGAAATCCTCTCCCTGAGACCCTTTTTATAGAGCACAGCCTTTCCAGGAGGAACATGCAAATGTGCAGATTTTTTTGTGTGTGTGTGAGCTTAAGACGGGGGAGAAAACCACATATTTCTAGAGCAATGAAAGCACAGAGTTGGTACATCAGAGACATGAAAAGGATGTGAGAAAGGAAACTCAAACAGCACAGGAGCATTAAAGACACTGCTTCAATTATCCTGAGGATGGAACTGTGGGTGATGTCTCATGTTCCTTTAAATCCAGGAACAGCCACCCACAGGCATCTATCCTCCACACAGCTATGGTCAACACTTCCAGAATAAGAACAGAATACAATAGACAGGCCGCTATCATGCAGATCAGAGGAACTAAAATAGCTTTTTTATCTGTAGTAATCAGCTCTGATGTGACTGTGTGCTTTTCTTTTTAGTCTATAAATTGATGTTTCTCGTTTACTCACCTGAAAGCAGCTGATCCATATCAGAGATGCGCTCTCTGGGATGCAGAGCTAAGCTACACGAGTGTACGATAGGTTACCAATGTGAACGTCTACAGGAGTGATTTTACACCTAACGCTACCTGAGCACAGCTTCAGGCTTACCCTCAGGTCACAGACACCCAGTTCCTGCTGAAGACTACAGATGTTTTCCTGCTGCCCTGCTCGTAAACACACTCAGCAGTCACAGACCTTCAGTTTATTATTACCTTCTCTGTTACCGCAGCAGTGATCCAGGAGGATATCAGAGTGTGAATAAAGTCAAATCATAATATTAAAGAAGCTACCACTAAAAAATAAGCATTCACATGAATATACAGATTTTTAATAAACACATTATTTAAGACATTTATTCTGTCAGGTTTGATTAAAATATGTTAATAATTTAATTAGTTTTTTTTCCCATCTCTGAAGATTAGTGACACAAACATTCATACTTATGCATGACTGGACAGCACTAGCATGTAAACAGAACAACTACTAAAAATAGCATCTATTACCCACAATTTCTATACAAATACAGTATGTTTTTATTAACATCAGTGTGCAGCATTTTAATCCTGTCAAAGGTTCAACATTTATTTGTCTTTTCATAAATGTATTTATTTGTGGTGTTTTGTTCCATTGGTTTACTTTGAAATTTTTTTTTCAAAATAGAGCAAATTTAATATATTTTTACATGAAGTGATGAACATGCATATAATAATATAATTATGGATTATTTGGGGGTTCAGATTAGGTAAAGTATGATTTGTGCACTCGATATTCAGCTGTTTGGCAGACATCTGCAAACAACATTCAATATCTTTCATCCTACCTGGTTTCTGTAAACATAGTATCCAAATTTAGGTGCAGAATATTATCTATCTATCTATCTATCTATCTATCTATCTATCTATCTATCTGTCTGTCTGTCTGTCTGTCTGTCTGTCTGTCTGTCTGTCTGTCTGTCTATCTATCTATCTATCTATCTATCTATCTATCTATCTATCTATCTATCTATCTATCTGTCTGTCTGTCTGTCTGTCTGTCTGTCTGTCTGTCTGTCTGTCTGTCTGTCTGTCTGTCTATCTATCTATCTATCTATCTATCTATCTGTCTATCTGTCTATCTGTCTGTCTGTCTGTCTGTCTGTCTGTCTGAGTATACCTCAACTATGTGAGACAACATGTCACATTGTCTGATTTTTATTTTATTTATCAGCAAAAATGGTGGAAAAAAGGTATTTGGTCACTAATGAAACCCCATCTCAATACTCTATTATATACCATGTGCTGCCAGTGACAGAGGTCAACAATTTTCTGCATATGTCTTCACAAGGTTTTCACACTATAGGCATGTTTCCATTACCAGAACTTCAGGGTAATTCCTGGGATGGAGAACTTGACCAGGAGATAGGATGTCCTAGTCCTCAACTATTGTTTATGTTTATTTATTTGGCAGATGCTTTTATCCAAAGCGACTTACAATTTATAACCTATAGGGCATGTTGTGATCTGTGGGGGAAACCGGAGTACCCAGAGGAACCCACACATGCATGGGGAGAACACACAACTCCACACGCAACTGGACCTTGAAATGCTTCTTACGAAGCCACTCCTTTGTTACCTGGGTGGTGTGTTTGGGATCATTGTCATGGTGAAAAAGTCCCAGTCTTCAATGCCCTTGCGTATGAAAGAGGTTTGCACTCAAAATCTGACAACACATGGCCCCATTCATTATTTCCTTTACACGATTTGTTGTCCTGATCCCTTTGCAGAGATACAGCCCCACAGCATAATGTTTCCACCCCCATGCTTTACAGTAGGTATGGTGTTCTTTGGATGCAACTGAGCATTCTTTATCCAAACACGAGTAGAGTTTTTACCAATAAGTTCTATTTGGTTCATCTGACCATGTGACATTCTCCCAGTCCTCTTCTGGATCATCCAAATGCTTTCTAGCCAACTTCAGACGGGCCTGCACTTGTACTGCAGGGGGACACGTCTGGCACTGCAGGGTTTGAGTCCCTGGTGGTGTGTAGTGCATTGATGGTAACTTTGTGACTTTGGTCCCAGAGCTCTGCAGGTCATTCACTAGGTCCCCCATGTACTTCTTGGATTTTTGCTCACCGTTCATGTGATCATTTTGACCCCCACAGGGTGAGATCTTGTCTGGAGCCCCTGATCAAAGGAGGTAATTAGTGGTCTGGTATGTCTTCCACTTTGCTCCCACATCTGATTTCTTCACACTAAGCTGCTTACTTATTGCAGATTCAGTCTTCTTAGCCTGATGCAGGTCTATAATTTTTGTTTCTGGTATCCGTTGACAGCTCTTTGGTCTTGGCCATAGTAGAGTTTAGAGTGTGAATGTTTGAAATTGTGGACTTGAGTCTTTTATATTGATAACGAGTTCCAACAGATGCCATGTGTAAAGGTAACACGTAGAGGACAGAGGAGCATCTTATAGAAGATGTTACAGGTCTGTGAGAGCCAGAAATATTGACAAAATACTTATTTTCCACCATAATTTGCAAATCAATTCTAAAAATCAGACAATGTAATTTTCTGGATTTTTTTTCTCACTTTGTCGTCTCATTGTTTAAAACTAATTACAAGCCTCTCTCATCTTTTTAAAAGGGACAACTTGCACAATGTGGCTGACTAAATACTTTTTTCCCCAACTGCATCTATATCAGAATTTAGTCAGTTACTATTTTAATATCAAAATGACTCATTTTTGCTAAGTGGAAAATCCCAGCTTTAACTCACTTAGTTGTAAAACACAACAGATCATTCTTCAAAGAGTCAGATTTGGTTCCTCTTAGAGGTTCTTTTTTTGACTTTTTTGAAACGTTAGTTCATTCTTCAGGTTGAGGAAACACAAATTCACCTGTCGACTGAAGCTTTCAATTTAGAACATGAAGTAAGCTATCCTGTTTCTCATAGAGTAGTGAGAGTGCAGCCAGTTATGTTGATGCCAAGCTCATCTGGACGTAGTATCACTCACCATGGCCAGAGGCACCATGCCGGCCAGCTCCTCCCGCGCCAGGCGGATCTCCGTCTCAGCCTCTTGTGTGGTGGAGCGACTGGATGGGTACGCCACCTGCCAGGCCATCCAGCGACTGCCTGTCAGCTCTGGGAAGCTTTCCATTTTCAGATCTACCTGGAGCACCCTCTGAGCTCCCATCTCAGATCTACATTGTGAAACAAAATGAAAAAGTTTCACGGAAAGGTAAAACAGATGATTGGTCGAGAGACTGAAAAAGATCAAGTGTGCTGCTGCGTGCGAGTGCTTAAATGTGTTCATGAACTCATTCAGAAATTGTCCCGTCTAATGACAACAATCATAAAGGCTGATGAACGTGTCTGGGGTTCATATCTACAGCATATTTCACTACGAAGATTCTTCCAAATTTCAAGTCCCCACATCATCCCAAACTCTTATTTTATTCCTCACATTGTATTATAGGTTAAGAGATCAGTATCTAGAATCTACAGAATATCCTCGAAGGTTTTCCACGGAGGAGCTTTTCACTGCACATCACTCCCACTAACGGGATGACAGTTGGGTTTGTCACCAGTGCCCTTGTTTGCTCTGGAGAACTGTAAATATACAGAATGCTTCGGCACAATCTGCGGCAGGCCCGAATTAAGTCAGACAAATGGAGGGCGTCACTAATAAAATTTCCCACGGCACTATAAGTCTCCGGTGCTCGCAGTTTAAATATAGCCCGGAGGCAGGAAAGGTCAGCGTTACACGGGAGCCAGAGGAGATGGGAAATGGCACGAAATCCACTAGCCACTCTCGTGTGTCAAATGGCAGGACTCCTGGCCAATATATTTCATGCACGGTCCCTGTGGCATGCTGGCACAAAACGACAATTTGTAATTTGGTGAGGGGGAGAGACAGAGAGGAGAAGAGATGAATAAATCCACATGGCACTTTGTTTGGAGAGAAGATCCTCTGTGCATAAAATGAGTAGAAAACACTGCAAAGCCTCAGGCAGAATAAAAAAAAGCATGTTTAAGGCCAAATTCTATTATCACAAACAAAATGATTCTATGAAGAAATATAATAAATAGGTGCAAACTCTTGGAGAGACAACTAATGCAAATATATCACATCCTAAATTATAAAAAGGATCCTTAAAACATTTAAATGACGAATAACAGAACCATCTGATCTGCTGTTTTCTTATCCACATGGTTCATTCTCACATTGTTCACTTTTACAGAGAGAATCAGAGATTGGTTGAACAGTAGAGCACAACAACCCATTTTTCACATCCAGCAGAGGTGTATATAAATAATTAAGATGACAACCAAATAATGTGTCACATTTCATAACATCGTACCAATCAGGGTAGCGCTCTGTTTAGGGTGCAGTACGACAGCAAGGCTTTACGTAACTGTCCCACAATGCTTTGAAAAAAAGACAGATGCTGATCTCTTTTAGCAGACCAGCAAAGCCAAAAGGTTCATCTGGATAAAAATGTACAAAATGTTAAAAGACAAACTGATAAATATCTAGAAATAAATCTTGGAGTGGTCCATACTCATCACGTTGCACAAAAACGTTGTCAGCCATCATCCTAAATAGCCTAGCCCAGATTTCTCCTGCAGGCAGTTCGCTTTAGCAAAAATCACAAATAAGACAAGACAGACAGGTGAAAGAACGGAAACGGCATAAAGGTTTGTGTAAACTGTACACGCAGGTATGGGAGCGGAGGCGTTTGAGGTTCCAAATATTACGGTTTCTCCTCCTTATTTGCTACCAGGTATAAAGAACGTTGTGAAATTTTCATGTTTTCACTAAAACGATGGACACAGAGACACAATCTGACAGCAAAAGACCAGTGGATTTGCAGTCTAAGGAGTGGTGTTGTGTCCTTTTACTGTGCAGCCTTAAACATACATAAACAGAATCTACAAGAGGTCCAGAAAATATCACAAGTGATAAAAGAGTGAGTCCAAGATGAAGCAGCGCTTCCTCTTTAGGGATTTAAATTGTTCAACACATGGGTGCTGTGGACCATTAAACATGCGTTTTTAGTGATAAGATCACATTTTAAATAAATTAATCCTAATAATCTAATATTACAACACAAAACTTTTATCATTAACAACATTTTAGTCACACATTCAAACTTCTTTGCAGCCGCCAACGAAATGTCAGAAAGGTAAAGGAAAAACCTTATCCGTGTTTAAAAAAGAACCAAAAATGGAATTTGAAGACAAACACAGCATGAACGTACAAAAGATATACATCACATATGCAAAGTTATGTTTTTCTTTTTTTCTTTCCCTTACGGTCGTACAGTCAACACCAACAAGTTACCCTCCCACCCATCCCTCCCCCGACCACCCACTCAGCCCTCTCCCAGAGAGAGAGGAAAAAAAAAAAAAAAAAAAATATATATATATATATATATATATATATATATATATATATATATATATATATAGAGGTTCCAAATATTACGGTTTCTCCTCCTTATTTGCTACCAGGTATAAAGAACGTTGTGAAATTTTCATGTTTTCACTAAAACGATGGACACAGAGACACAATCTGACAGCAAAAGACATAAACATATATGTTTATGTTTATTTATTTGGCAGACGCTTTTATCCAAAGCAACTTACAATTTATGACCTATAGGGCATGTTGGGATCTGTGGGGGAAACCGGAGTACCCGGAGGAAACCCACGCATGCATGGGGAGAACACGTAACTCCACGCAGAAAGGAAGCAGCTGAGTTTCGAACCTGCAACCTTTGTGCTGCGAGGCAACAGTTCTAACAACTGCACCACCATGCATATATATATATATATATATAATAAATTAAGTAAAATAACACAAAACAGACACACCTACACCCATTCATACTTATGGTAACCTGTCTCTTCATGCTTACATACACATATACAATTACATTCAGATACACATACCGTCACACATACATAGGGGTGCTTCCACTAATAACTACAAAGCACTGATGACGATTTGCTCGCTCCTCGGTCATCCAATCCATCCAATCCAAGCCTTTAAAATTGTATGTCATAAGGAGTACCCACCTTCTTAATGTGTGTGTGTGGGTGGGGGGGGCGACACCCGGTACAGGCGGCTAGGTTTGTATCTGGTTATCACTGCCATCTAAAGCAACCTCCCGAGCAGGCAAATTGTCCACATATTTTATTAACCGTCTCCAATGAGGCCAGAACTTATCACAGGATCCCCAAAGAGCAAACTTGAACTTTTCCCATCTTAGAAGGCCCAAAATGTCATGCAGCCAAACTTTGATTGATGGGGGCCAGGGTAGTTTCCATAGCAACAAGATTCTTTAACGAGCATTAAGAGAGGCAAAGGCAATAACATTGTTTTGGATACTGTAGTGTGAAGTGTGTTTGGAGATATGCCAAAAGTAGCAATGTGTGGGGTCGGAGTTATGTTAATGCGTAATATATCCAAGATTAATTTAAAGAAGCGTTGCCAAAACTCTGACAGTCTGGAGCATGTCCACAGCATGTCCACAGCATGTGAGTAAGATTACATGGTGTTTGTGAGCATCTATTGCATTTGTCGTCAAGTTTGTCCAGGTAGAGTTTTGATAATTTTTCTTTACTGTAGTGTAACCTATAGAAAATTTTAAATTGAAGTCTGGCACAACTGGATGATGACTTAATTGCTCCTATTACTCTTTCCCAAAAGGTCTCACAGAAATTCAATTTAAGTTCTGCCTCCCAATTCATTTTAGTCTTCTGTAAAAGGGAGTCACTAGATGTAGACAGTAGGTTATAAAAATAGGAGATATGGCCTTTTACCAACGACTTGGCTTTAAGGATTACGTCCATTCCGTTGGGAGTAGGCATCTGTGGGAATGAGGTCAAATGTTTCTTAGCAAAGTGCCTTAACTGAAAGTACTGGAAAAAATCGGATTTATTAAGATTGAAACGAGAAGTTAATTCATTAAAACTTGCAAAGATGCCGTTGATGTATACATCTCCCAAACTATGAAGCCCTCTTTTTTTTCTAAGACAGATAATCTTTAATCTGTTTTTGCTGGAGCAAATAAATAATTATTACAGATGCAAATAAATAATTATTACAGATGCCAATGGATGGCGAGCCATCCGAAATTACGTCTAATTTGTGTCCATATTTTTAAGGTTGCAATAACAACTGGGTTAGAGGAGAGGTCCCCTGGGACCGGCTGTAAGAACCCGCATGCGATAGCACGTAATGACGAGGAACACGACGCTGCCTCACTCCGGCACCAACCGGTCTGGGGAAAAGTGTACCAGGATAATATTTTTTTGCAGGTTAGAAGCCCAATATTACCCTAATACATTAGGTAGGCCTAATCCCCCATCAAATCTATTCCCGCAAAGAAGTAAGCGATTTGCTCCTAGTCTTTTGCCAGCCCAAATAAAAGTTGAAATAATTTCATTTATATTTGCAAAAAATGACTTTGGAAGGAAAATGGGTAAGCACTGAAAGGCATAAAGGTATCTTGGCAATACAATCGTTTTTTTAATTTGAATACAACCGGCTAAGGATAGTGGTAAAAAATTCCATCTTTGTAAATCAGACTTAACGTTTGTTGTTAATAAAGTAAAATTTTGTTCGCTATGATCGTGTAACCATAATGCCTAGGTATTTAAATCCTTCATTAGGTATATTAAAGGGTATCGACCATAGAGATATGTCAATGGCCAATTGATTAATCGGGAAGTATTCACTCTTTGAAATATTAAGCTTATATCCTGATAAACTACAACTACTACTACCACTAAACTTCATTTATATAGCACCTTCACATGGCCCAAGAACCAAACAAAGCGCTGCACAGCAGAAATAAACAAAAAATAAAAACATATAAAACCATTTAAAAACCAACAAAAACATGTAGATAAAATCTAGGATGCGTGAAATATTCGACACTGGATCTTCAACAAAAAGGTGCAAATCATCTGTGTATAACGATACTTGATGTTTGATGCCCCATCTCTCAATTACTTCAAATCCTTTCAATCTTTTTAATGCTTGCTGAAAGTGGTTCAATCGTTAATGCGAACAGCAATGGAGATAACGGGCACCCTTGTCTAGTGCCCCGAAAAAGTGAAAACGGAGGACAATGTTGGTTGTTTGAGCAGACTGAGGCCATAGGGGAGGAATGGAGTAGTCTGACCCATG